TACTCGAATGTTTATAGCAGCACAATTCACAATTGCAAAGATGTGGAAACAACCCAAGCTCTGATCAGTACATGAGTGGATTAATAAAATGTCGTATATGTATACCATGGAGTACTACTCACTTATAAAAAGGTGAACTAATACCTCTTGTATTACTCTGGATGGAACTGGAGCCCATTCTTCTAAGTGAAGTATCACAAGAATGGAAAAACAAACACCACACATACTCACCATTAAATTGGTAATTGATCAACACTTATGTGCACACATGGAAGTAACATTCACTGGGGATTGGGTAGGTGGGAGGCGGCGGAAGGGATGGGTAAATTCACACCTAATCGGTGCACGATGTCTGGGGGCTGGGCATGCTTGTAGCTTTTACTAAGGTGGTGCAAAGGCAATTTAAGTGACCAAAGCATTTGTACCTCCGTAATATTCTGATATAATAAAAAATAAATTTAAAAAAATCCAAAGTACTTGTGGTTCATGTGCCAGATAATCAAACTAAAAATGAAAGTATAAGCCTAGATTGGCTCTGAGAAACAAGAAAAAGGTGACTGTGCAGTAGGAAAGGCAGGAGACAGAGAGAAGTCCTCCTCTTCACTGCTAAGTAGCTGTATTACCTGAATGAGACATTTTGTTCTTCCTATAGCTCCATGTTTTCATAGCCTTGATGAGAGGGTGTATTTACACTCCGTGGCCTCTTGTGACTTTAAAGTCTACTCCTCTATGAACTTAGGGTCTTGAAGCTCCTTTTTCTCCCGTTAAGACTTGCTAGAGAGACCCCAGAGAGTTTAAGGAGGTATCATATGGCTCCACCCCTTAAAGGTTGTTGATGGTCTACACACCCAGCTCTCTCATCTTAGCACTCTGGCCCTCTCGGGCAACCTCTTGAAGCTAAAATGCCAGGAGACACTGAACTCACTGAGATTCTTGAAGCCATACAGATGAAGAGGGAGAGGACGGAAAGGTAGATCTGGAGTCGCTTCCCACCAAACCTCTTCTTGAGATATTCCGGCATGGTCACCACCTGCAGGGACAGACATCAACAGGGATTCACCTTCAGAGCCCCACATATTCAGATTGCTCAACATTTACTAAACACTTATGAGCAGGTAAGCACTGTGCGTGGCACCTGGAATGCAGAGGTGAGGCAGGCATGGTCCGCTGGGAGGGTGGCAATGCTGGAATGAACACAGGTATAGGAATGAGACGACCCTGGGGTCTCTTCCCAGTTCGAGTGTTTACTAGATGTGTGACTTTTAGCAAATGACAATGTCTCTGAGTCTCCATTTTCTCATCTGTAAAATTGGAGTTTAATATGAAGGTACAGGTGAAGTATCTATAACATCAAATATCTGGTAGACATTCTACAAATAATTTTTATTATTTTCACCAATGATGTTGCAGTCCAGTGAAAATAATATTATAAATAATGAACCACAATTATAATGATACAATAAATTGATAATTGAACACGTTGATGAGATACATTTGGGTATATATTTATTTAATTATCTTTATTGAAAGGAAGAGAATCACATTAAA